GGTGAAGTGGCTCGTGAACGGGCGCGAGGAGACGGAGCGCGTGGTGTCCACGGACGTGATGCAGAACGGGGACTGGACGTACCAGGTGCTGGTGGTGCTGGAGACCGTCCCGCGGCGCGGGGACAGCTACGTGTGCCGGGTGGAGCACGGCAGCCTGCGGCAGCCCGTCAGCCAGCCTTGGGGTAAGGCCCCGGGCCCCGGCCCGCCGCGGGGGGAGCGGGAGCGGGAGCGGGAGCGGGAGCGCGGCCCCCGGCGCTGAGCCCCCACCTTGGTCCCCGCAGAGCCGCCGTCGGACGCGGGCAGGAGCAAGCTGCTGACGGGCGTGGGGGGCTTCGTGCTGGGACTCGTCTTCCTGGCGCTGGGGCTCGTCGTGTTCCTGCGCGGTCAGAAAGGTGAGCGCTGGGAGCGGGGCTGCGCTGGGGAGGGGTGGAGGGTCTGCGGGCGCGCTGACGTCGTCTCGCTGTGTTTCAGGGCGCCCCGTCGCCGCCGCTCCAGGTAACGTCCCGCCCCGTCCCGTTCCCCTTCCCGTTCCCGAGCCCGGCGCGGGGCTCAGCTCTGCCCGTGTCTCCCCGCAGGGATGCTGAATTAGCTGCTGCCCCGCCGAGCCGCTCCATCCGCACCCCCCGCATCTCCTGCCGTCGCCTCGGCTCTCCCTCGGGCTGCCCCCGCGTCCCGTCACCACGATGCACGTTTTGTCCCCATCCTAATAAACGCGCTGACTTTGTCGCTGCTGTTCGCTGCCCGTGAACCGTTGGGGACTTTCCGTTCCGCGGGGGGGGAGGGAAGTGAAAGCTTCGTGGGGAAGCGAACACAGCGCCCTATGGGCCCCGCGGGGCACGGAGTGGTGGGCCTGGGGTCGGGTTGGACTCAACCTTGGTGGTCATTTCCCCCCATGGGGAGCTCACGGCCACCCAACGGCCCTCATTGAGACTCCACGGTCACACACATCACCTTTCTGTCACCCCGTGTTTCCTCTGGGGTCCCTCAGTGGTCACCCCATGTTCCCCCAAACCCCTCACGTCCCCTCCCTCATCTCTCCCTATTGACCACCCGGCCCACCCCTATGATAACCCAAAGCCAGCACCAGTGGTGAGGGGACGCAGACACGGGGCCCTGGCTCTGTCCCTACAAGAACGGGGTGGTGACAGCCCACACAGCACCATTTGTCACCTCGTCATCTGTCACCCGGCAGAGGACACGCAGACACAGCCCGGCTCAACTCGAATAATATTTTCTTTATTTACATGTTAAAGAATCGAAAGGTTGGAAACATACAGTAAGATGAAAACACGGCTCTAAGGGTCTAACAGTGGGGCAGGAGGGTGAAAGAAGGGGGGGAAAAAAAAAAAAAGGGGGGGGGGGGGGGGGGGGGAAAAACCCAAAACGAGTAGAAAAAAATTATACAGTCAACGTAAAAAAGGGGTGGCCCTCCCTCCCCCAGTGGGAACATGCGGCGCTGCGTGCCGGGGGGATTTATGTACAGGGGCCGGGCAGCTCCAATAAATTAAAACCTCCAGATACAACGGGGTGGGGTGCAGAGCCCCTCACGGTGTGGTTTTCCTTCTTTAAATGCTTTTTTTTTTTTTTTTTTTTTTAATTTTTTTTTTAAATTTTTTCTCTTTTTTTTTTTTTTTAATTTTTCTTAAAAACCCCAAACCTTTTTTCTCCCCCCCCCTTTGTTTTGGAAAAAATCCCAGAAGTCAGGAGAAAGAAGAAAAAAAAAAAAAAAAAAAAAAAAAAAAAAGAAAAGCCAACCCTAACACAACAAACAGTAAAACCTGCTGGGGGGCACTGCTGACCCCCCCTTGTCCGACCCCACAGCCCCACACTGCCCTGGGGGTGCGCAGGGGCCTCCGGTCACACCGGGACCCCCAGCGGAGTCCATGGGGCGTCCCCTGGGCTGCTGGGGGGCTCCCAGTCCGCTCCACGCCAGCCCGGTCCTGCAGAGCCGCTTGGGACGTCGCCCCACGCAGTGCTGTGGGGTTTAACCCGAATCCGAGTCGCTGGTGTCCGAGGACGAGGAGCTGGAGCTGGAGCTGCTGGAGTCGGAGCTGGAGCTGGAGGCGCTGAGCCGCGAAACGGCCACCTGCTGCGCCGACTCGGGCTTCTCGTTGGCTGCAATGGGACAGAAGTGCTCAGCACCACGGTGGATCGCACCCCAATCCCACCCTGGAGCCCACGCTCACCCTTTTTTGGGGGTTTCTTGGCGGAGTTGAGCTGCCCGCTGACGTCCTGCAGCCGTTTCTCCAGCTCTCGCTTCTTCTCCAGTGCCAGTTCCTCTTTCGTCTTCCCCACCGGCTTCTTCATGGCTGTGAGAGGTTGGGTTCAGCCCCACGCCGCCCCGCCTCCCCCCCAGGGCCTCCCCTCAGGGCCGTCCCCTCCTGAACGCAGCCCCCCACTCACTCTCACTGTAGGGTTTGCGGGGTTTCTTCCGCAGGCAGGACAGCACGTAGCGCTCCAGCTCGCGCAGCGTGGAGGGTTTGAGGGTCTCGAAGTCGATCTCGATCTCCTCGGGGTTGGAATCGCGCAGGGAGGGCTCCCGGGACTGGATGATGTGCACCACGCGGCCCAGCTTCTCCCCGGGCAGTTTGTTGATGTCCAGACTCAGCTGCCTCTTCTCATCGTACGTCATCGGTTTGCTCTCCTCTTCCTCCTCTGAATCATAGAGGGCGGGTGGAGGCGGCAGCGCCGCTTTTGCTGCTTTCTTTGAGTTCCTGCAGGAAGCAAAGCACCATCAGGAAGATGAACCTCAGGAGTCACCCCACAGCTTGACCACTGTCCCCCAAAAAGCAGCCTGCACTCACTTGGAGCCGCCCCCGCCGCTCCCCCCGCCGCCGCCCTTCTTGGCTTTGCGGAGCTGCGCCTGACGCGCCCGGCTCTCCTCGTCTCCTCCTCTCCCTTTGTGCTTCTCCGATTTCTTCTTTTTCTTTTTCTCCCGCTTCTTTTTGGGTTTGGAAACGGGGCCCTGTGAGAGGGCAGCCAGCTGCTCGTGCACGGCCCGCAGCTGTGGGGGGAGACAGGGGGTGAGGCGGGCATGGGGAGCGGGCACAGGCAGCAGCACCGGCCCGGCTCCGGTCCTCACCTGCTCCTGCAGCTCCGCCAGGCGGTTGGCGCGTTCCTCCTCTGAGTCCGAGCTCTCCTCGCTCTCCGACGAGCTCTCGCTGCTGCTCTCGTCCTCATCATCATCCTCATCGTCTTCATCTTCATCGTCCTCATCGCTGGAGGATTCCTCGGAGGAGGATTTGGACAGGGCTCCGAGCAGCGGGGCGGACACTGAGGGCGGGCTGGCGTCCTGCGGCTCGTCGGGCATCTTGGCGTAGCTGAACTCAAAGACGTCCTGAGAGAGAGGACACAGAGGGGTGAGCCGGGTGGGCTGGGGGCTCCTGGGGCTGCTGGGCGACCCCACCCACCTGCAGTTTGCGGGCCATGGCCACCACGTCGTGGTCGGGCGGGTTGTATTTGTAGCAGTTGGAGAACATTAACCGGACGTCGGCGGCAAACTCCTGCGCGTCGTGGTAGTCCCGGTTCTCCATCTTCCGCTGCGGGGAGGGAAGGGGGTGAGCAGACCTCAAAGCCACCCCCACGAGGCCGTGCCAACACCCGCGGGGTCCCCGAGCGAACCTTGATGGTGCTGAGGTCCATGGGGTGCTTGATGATCTCGTGGTAATCGTGCAGCCCCAGCGCCGAGGCGTCGACCGGTTTGTAGAAGGGCCACGCGTAGGCGGCGTGCTTCTTGGAGAGCAGCTCCTTCAGGATGCCATTGCAGTATTTGAGCTGCTCCGACAATTTGCCCTTTTTGGAGGTCTGGTGCTGCTGGGAATCCGGCAAGTCTTTCTTGGGGGGTTTGATGGGGCGGCCGCTCTCGCGCCGCGCGGGGATTTTGGCCGCCTTGGCCTCCAGCAGCGTGGCCGACGGGGAGGATTCGCCGCTGGTGGCGATGATGGCGGTGGTGGTGGGGGTGGTGGTGTCTGCTTTCCGCTTGACGCCCTTTTTCTACCAAAACACAGAAAGGCTGATGAGCGCGAGGCCCGGCGCTGCCCACGGAGCCTCCTCCCGCCAGCACAGAGCTCCCATCTCCCACCTTGGCCACGGGTTGGGTGGGCGCAGGCGCAGCCAGCACGGCCGGGGCAGCGGAGTGCAGCGATTTGAGGAGCGGAGCGGAGATGACGGACGGGTGGGGAATGTTGACGATGGTGGTGGCGATGTCGGGGCTCGGGGTGTACACAGCGGTGTGGGACACAGAGGACACAGCCGGCACTTGCTGAGCAGCTGTGAGGCCTGCGAGGAGCGCTGCAGACAGGCAGAACCGCCGTTAGCAGCCAAGTACCTCCAGTGCTCCACCTGAAGCGCAACCCAAAGAGCCCCAGGTACCTGCCGCCCGCGACGCTCCCTTCTTGTGGCTGTTCTTGGCCACCGGGACCACGATCTCCTGCTCCTCTGGTGGCATCTGGGCCACCTTCTGCAGGAAGATCTTCTCCAGGGTTTGGGCCATCAGCACGATGTCATCTGTGGGCTACGGGGACAAGCGGAACGTCACGGGATGCAGAGGTGGCACCGCAGACCCCAAAGAATCCACGCCACAGCCCTCACCTTATTGTAGATGTAGCAGTTGGTGAACATGGTGTTGAAGTCCTGCATGCACTCAGCTGCCCCCCAGTAGTAGTTGTTCTCCAAGCGCCGCTTGATCGTCCCCATGTCCATGGGCTGCTTGATGATCTTGTGGTAATCCTGCACAGCGGATGGAGGACAGTCAGCGCCACGGAGGTGATCGCACCGCACCCCTCCCGGCCCCAGAAGCGGTTGTCGGGGGTTTTTAGGAGCTCAACATCCCCCAAAGCATCCGGAGGCTGACACGCACACAGATCCGCTCTCGCACCACGCACCAAAAGCAGGGCAAAGGGGTGCAAAGGGATGGAAAAACACCTCCGGGTCTGGTCCCCGCCCGAGAGTGCCACCGTGCTGCTCTGAAGGGACCTTCAGGTGCTCTTGTGGGGCGCCTACGCTATGGGGACAGCCAAAACACCGCTGTCCGCAGCATGAGGTGCAAATGGGGCCGCTAACGCTAAAGTAAGAGCAAACCTATGTGGAATTTACCTCTGGGCTTTAAATCCTTGGGCGCCACAGGTGCACGGGGGGCTGGCGTTTAATATTGGGGTCACAAGATGTCTTCTACAAATTCATGGATGGGAATCTGCAAAACGCATTCAGGGCACAAGAGATTAGGTGAGGAAACGTCCGGGTTCCCTCTAGAGCAGCTGCGTCTCCTCAGCCATACCCGTGCGGTGGCACTGGGAGGGGACGGCAGCTCTGAGGACAACAGGTCACCTACTGGGGGGCTTCAGAGCCCGTGGGGTTGGGGTTACGCCTCTAAGAGAGGGCGAGGCCAGCACAGCCCAGGCACCTGCAGCTGCATCTCTGTGGTGGAGCCCATAGAGGGGACAACGCCGTCCCTGTGGCACTCTCAGGCTGGGGACCGCGGCTCGGGGTGGCCCTCAGCACCCGGGGGACAAATGTGGGGACACACAGCCATGCTGGGGGACCCGCAGGAGGGGGCACGTTACCGGCAGACCCAGCTTGACGGCGTCGACAGGCTGACGGAAAGGCCAAGCGAACTGGTGCTTCCACAGGGCTTTCATCACCACTTTGTGCAGGTACTGCAGCTGGTTGGTGACCCGGCCGGGCTTTTTGGGGTTCGAGACCTCTGGCGGAGGGGGGTTTGCCTGGGG